GTATTTGACTGATTTTGGTATTTCTCTGTGGTTGGCCTGCTTGATCAGCACCGAAGTGTATGTTGGTGTCCGCCAGGGTGGATACACATGTGTAGTCCCACACCAGCTGTTTGCCCCTCTTCCAGGGGTATATTGTGATGCCATCTGGGCGAAAAAAAAACGGGGTGATTCGGGTTTTGGTTCCCTAGGATGCGAGGCTCTCTCTCCGCTGGGCACTGAGGCAAGGCTCCTCATAATGATGTCATTAACCCCATTGTGTCTTGCATGCCAGCCCTTGGAGCTTCCGCAGTGCAACCCATGCAGTCCATATTGGTCTACTTCCACATTGTTGCAAATACACTTGTATTCAGTGTGAATTGGGGGGCACCAAGGCGGAGGTCCACTGCTACGTGAAGGGATTCTGGATCTAGGCGCGTGCCCATTGCCGACATGGGCACTACGAGAAGGAATTCTCCTGCATGGGTGGCATGCACTGCTCTGAGGCGGGCTTTCTCCTTGTCTGATGTTGCGGCGCTGAGCATGGCATCAGCTATTTTTTCCACTAGTGGGTAGTGCCAGCTGGACTGTTAATGTTCTTATTGGTTCTATGATGGGTGCTGGGGCTGCAAGAAACATCCCACTGATTTGAACATTCAGTGAAAGCGGATCGTGTATTCCTGCTGAATCACTCAGGGGTTCTGGTAGGATATCTCTTACGAGGTCGTATATTGAATATTTTGTGTGAATATATTTGATGGCAAGAAATTGACGTGACATTTACGTGGGGGGAGGTGGGGGGGGGGTTGATTGCGTGCCCCGATGGCCAGACGGAAGCAGGGTTCCGTCTTCTAGATTGGCCCGAGTGGTCCTCTTGGCCTTAAGGACCACCTTATAATGGTCCCCCAGAGGCATACTTCTCTCCATTCATCTTCACCGAGTGATGACTGCTTGAGGAAGATTAAGCCACCCAAGAGGTGGCACGGGCATCAATACCCCGTAATGATAGATTTTTTGGAGTGAATGTGTACTATGTGGTGAGGTGGCACTTATGGTCAGTCCTTACTATGTGGTGAGGTGGCACTTATGGTCAGTCCTTACTATGTGGTGAGGTGGCACTTATGGTCAGTCCTTACTGTGTGGTGAGGTGGCACTTATGGTCAGTCCTTACTATGTGGTGAGGTGGCACTTATGGTCAGTCCTTACTATGTGGTGAGGTGGCACTTATGGTCAGTCCTTACTGTGTGGTGAGGTGGCACTTATGGTCAGTCCTTACTATGTGGTGAGTGGGCACTTATGGTCAGTCCTTACTATGTGGTGAGGTGGCACTTATGGTCAGTCCTTACTGTGTGGTGAGGTGGCACTTATGGTCAGTCCTTACTATGTGGTGAGGTGGCACTTATGTCAGTCCTTACTGTGTGGTGAGGTGGCACTTATGGTCAGTCCTTACGTATGTGGTGAGGTGGCACTTATGGTCAGTCCTACTATGTGGTGAGGTGGCACTTATGGTCAGTCCTTACTATGTGGTGAGGTGGCACTTATGGTCAGTCCTTACTATGTGGTGAGGTGGCACTTATGGTCAGTCCTTACTATGTGGTGAGGTGGCACTTATGGTCAGTCCTTACTATGTGGTGAGGTGGCACTTATGGTCAGTCCTTACTATGTGGCTATCTTACTGTGCTATCGTGGGGGGGGGGGGGTTACTGCTTTCTCTTCACCTTACTCTTTATTATTATGTCCGGGGGGGGGGTCTCTCTCCTCACACTCTCCCTGCTTTTCTCCCCTCCCCTCTCCCTTTCTCTTGTCCTATTCCCACCTTTCCTCTCTCTTTCCTCTCTTACATATCTCTCCCTCTCCTCACTATCCTCCCAACTCTCCTATCTTCACGACCTGTTTTCCTCTATCATATCTACTACATATATTTCTGTATTGGAACTATGATGAAACTAATAGAACTCGCCATGGGAACTGCCAATTAGCCACTCACAAACTTCCTTGTCATTTTCTGTGTGCTCTCCTGCCTGCCTTAACAGTCACTTACTCTCATGACTCTTGTGTTTATGCTTCCATTCCTTGTTCTTTTGCATCTATATCGGGTTTCTGTTATCCTGTGTCTAATATGCAGGCGATGAGTCACAATAACGTGGTTGAAGTATGTTGACCAGACCACACACTAGAAGTTGAAGGGACGACGACGTTTCGGTCCGTCCTGGACCATTCTCAAGTCGATTGAGTCTAATATATTTCTCCAATCCCTCCTGATTGTTGTTTTAGCCTCTCTACATTGTGTTGAACCATTGGTTGTGATATTCCCTACAACTTTCTACCACTGTTGTAGGGATGAACCTCTCCTGAGCCTCTTTACCTCTCTAGTGGACTTGGTCCGTCATTGTCTAGACTGTCTCCCAGTACTTCCTCCCAGTGCCCAGGGGGCCCAGGTGCTCTCGCCTGCCCGTCCGTCGTGGTGGTCCACATCTTAAGGTGTTCCTCTGGACACGAGGCAACCTGTCCTCTTAAACATAACGTCGTTTTTGGCCGTTACCCGTATGGCCGAAAGTGGACGTAATTTGAAAATAAACAAAAATGAAAATGAATTAAAGATTTTTTTCAACAACAGTAAGTTAAGGGTCCTCTGGTAGGTTAGGTGAGCCGGAAATTCTCATAAAGTTTCAAAACGTTATGAAAAACGTTAATTGAAAGTTTCCTCTCCTAACCTTTCTGAGTAAGCCGGACGACTCAAACAGAGAACGGGACAGTACGTCACTTTCGTGAGTCAATCTCATTTCAAATTACGTCCACTTTGGCCATAGCGCGCATACCAGCCAAAAGCGATGTTATTTTTAATATGACGGGTTGAGGTGCTACCTGAGCTCACAGAGCGCTCCTCTTACTGCTCTCTACAGGTGTGGGTTGCAACTCTCAGTTACTGCATGAAGTGCTCCTTATGGTGATTGATGGTCAGTTGGTAAG